ATTACGTTCGATTCTATTTCTTAACCCTTAATAAGTACGGCGACTACGTAGCCCTCGTCCTGGTCTGCTGATGAGCTCGTCGTAGGCTAGTTAGAGGATCCTTTTGGAAGCCGAGGCTTTTTAAAGGTTCTATCGTCCTTTAGCTAACTAACTTTTTTAAGCTTACTATGGAGTAATTTCTATTTATTTAATTTAATCGCGGCAAGGACCTCCTCTATATGGCTGTTAGATATTTGTATTAGGGACCTATTAGTGTTACGACTTGTAAGTGCCTACTCTAGTCTTCGGTACGCCGAAGGCCGCTAGTGGTATACGTAATTATACGGGTATATAACGTCCCCCTTATTATTTGCGTCTTTATATAAGTTAGAACGCCCTAAGAAAGTAGAGTAAGCCCCTCCTTAGCTTAAAGGCCGTTTTGTGTATACCTCCTAGGTTACTAGGCTAAACGTATACGTAATCTCTCCGAGGGTTTTAGTATGCGTCCTAAAAGCGATTAATTTGTAGAAAGCGTCGTAAGTTCGTTAGCCCTATATAAGGTTAAGCCTAGACTTAACCGTTTCTAGGAAGTCGATTATAGCGATCTCTTTTTGAATTTCCGGGATATTGTACGTCTTTGTTTAGAGGTAAGTAGACTGCTACTCCTCGTATTAGCGTTAGGCGTTAACTCCGTTCTTTGCTTTGTTAAGGACTTGTCTATATTCTTGCCGAACCGCACTCCTAACTATGGCCTCGGAGGGCGCTAAATCCTGTTTTAGTTGCTGGACGATCCGTTAGATACTGAACTTAACGCCTTTTTAGGTTACTTTCTGGAATACGTGTTCGTAAAGAGTAGCGGTAATAGACTTTCCTAACTACTGGGTAAAGAGTTTAATATACGTATTAATACTATTACGTTTAGGAGCTATGATTTAGTAGTACTTGGCGGAGAGCTCCTATTCTTTTTAAATATTCTCGAGTATATAGATCTTTTTTACGGGTACGGTATAAGGATATATTTGGTTGCGTAAAGTTAGTAGTATAGCTGGTCTTGTAAAAGGAACTCTAGCTAGATCTTATAGATTGCTTGTGTTCGAGGATATCGAAGGGGTCGTACTAGGAGTTAGGGCTAGAAGTTATTGGTAAAGGATCTCCTATTCTCGTTAATCGTTTTTGAATACCTTACGGCGAGTCTCGTAGGCTCGTCGCTTTTTTTTATTACGGGTTAAAAGTAATAGTTCGAAGTTTAATAGTAAAGAGAATACTGTAAGGGGAGCGAGGAGTACGTCGGAGTTTAGAGCGTCTAGATCGACGTATTTCTAGACTTCGAGGCCCTCGCTTATAAGGCGGAAAGCTTAGAACTATTTAATCTAACTATCGCGGCTAGTTAACTTAGCTTAACTAAAGGTTAACGTAAAGATGTCTATTATTTTAAAGAGATAGTAGGAATCGTGTTAATAAGTACGTTATTGTATTTTGAGGTCTTAACTAAGAGCTGGGCTCATAACTGTCACGAGTTATGGTACATAGTAATGGGTATACGGAGTGTAGTAAAGTGGCCTAACCTATTAAAGTAGAAATAGATAAAAGAGAAAGGTCTATATATAGGATATAAGTGAGATATACGTGATATAGTACGTGACAGGCACTTTGTGGATTGCGGTCCCTATCCTTGTTACGTGATAAATTTCAACGACACAAATTTCCGATGGTTAGGTTGGACCTACCTGCGTCTTCGCCCGCCGTGCCGCGCCGTCGGTTCTTGGTAGTCTGTCTGCCTACCTATATGTTTATAGCCTACATTTGCCTCCTGCTCTTTGGTTGCCCACCTCCCCTCGTGGTCCCCCCTCCATCTCAATGGGAATGGCGGCAGATTCGCAAACCAAGCCCAAAACGTGCAAAGTCGCCCAGCCTCCATCATGATCCCACAGATCCAACAAGTCACCCAGATCCTGGTGATACCTCGTTGGTCAGGCCCTACGTGATTTTGCTCGGTCCTTGGATGATGAACAGAACTTTCACGGGTGGCCTGAAGAATAGGGCTGCATGTCTGCGCCGCAAGGCTGCATTCATTGAAATAGGAGAAGACTGTAGCACTGCTTGAGACCGAGGAAGGATCACCACCGTAAAGTTACGTACCTTGCGGCGAGGAACTGACGAACCAGAGGCTGTAGAGTGGCCGAACTTCCTCGGTTGTCTCGGCCTTCCAAGACTTTTGTAAACTTGAGGGTCTTCCAAGGTGCCAGACTAAATCATGTATGCTTCTGATACAATTTCTTCTATTCCAAAGAGAAAGAGAGCAAAGTTGTTTGCATTCCTCTGAACTGGCTTCTTTTGTGTAGCCATTAAGACTTTGGTCTGCGCCTTAACCAGTAACTTTCACAACTCGCCACTACATAATACTGCTGCTTTGAGGCCTCCAGGCTCGTCTCTTCGAGTTTCTGGGTGATTCACATACTTGTTATGATTGCAAGGAAATTGTCGACAAACATTCCAAGGCAAAGCTAATTGATGACCATGTGTCTTTAGACACGAAACCACACCAATCGGACCGATAATTCCCATGATTGTATTCACGATCAAGGAGGAAGATCACCAACGCTGTCCGAACGAAGGACACGAAGCCCTGCTCGAAAATGCCCGAAGGCTTGGACACTCCGGCTTTTGCTTGCCATTCTTAGGTCAGTGCAACAATCCGGTATTGTCCCGTATACCTCAGCTCGTTTCTTGAGAATGATTTCTCATGCCCATCTAACTCATACGTAGGCAGTATCATGTGGTCGCCATCTCTATCAAATTCGTACAAGACACCAGCTAGCTATACTGTCATCTTCCACCTGTAGTTGAGTCAAAGCCTCAAAGCCCTTTACGACCATAAGACTGACTAATAATTCTCGCAGAGCCTACTACTCGTTCAATACGATCAACATGCCTTACGTCGAGGGTTCCATAATTGTCGTACTCGACTTCGGTCCCGTAATCCTACCAAAGACAATATGACACCTTTCTCGAGGTTACGTCCATAGGGCCAGACAATACCGTTCCATGCCATACCGAAAGGATGACCTGAGCCAGCCATCGAGACTAGCCTCTATCGATACGGTCCAGCCTGGCTCAACCGGATGAAACTGATCGAGATACTGAGGCTTGCAAAGAAAACATAAACACGCTCAAGACCCATTTTGATAGGGTATAAACGAAGAAAAAGGTACACGTATTACTTTATCTGCGATGCGAATGAAGTCAGTCAGTCAAGTCATTTCATCTAATAAGGCCATACGGAGTCACAACCTGGGATACCGAAACTCAAGGAGCGGCGGCTCAACACTTCCTTGCAATACATGCTAAACCCAGAATCTGAACTATCTTGACCCAGTGTTGAAAAATCGAAAACAATTATCGCACCTGACGGCTATGACGAACAAGATTTGGATCAATCTGATTAGTGTCTGGAGACAAAAGGTAATCTTTTCAACTTCAATTCTTAACTAAGGTAGTTCCTTTGCAGGGGGTCATTGGGCCAACAAAGCCCCTCCGACCTGTGCCGTTAACTCCTCCAAAGATCACGCAGAGTATTGCTGCCTCTACGACGATCCTCGAGCTACAGCACCTTTGTATACATATCCAAGCTAGAGAGTCTTTTTGACGAACCAAGAAATAGACTTCTAGGGGAAGGCGACCATTTGAGATAGGATGGATATATGCTGGGTTTTGAGTACGTAGAGTTGGTCGAATTTTGACCTTCTAGGTTTACCTTACTGAGCAGACATGCATCAGAAGTGACATGATCGGTTTCCGGGACTCCTATGCCAAAGCTTTTCCTGACTGTCGTAGGGTCCTTTGGAAGAAGAAGGTGCGATTCGCAAAACTCGACCAAGCTTTTGGGGTCCAAGTGCTCCTCGGGTGGAGGGGATCGGTCCATATCGCATTGAACAATCTCTTCTCAAAAGATGCACGTCTTCGATCTAATGGTGTCAGGTCATCTACCCGGATACAAGCCCTATTTCAGCGGACATAGATGAACCAGGTACATGTACTCTCTGGAGTAGGCACCGAGTTCGTTGATTAGAGTGTAAGCAAATAGGTCTCGCTTCGTCTTCGCTATCTTGTCCATGACCTTGGCTTGGGATTCATCGGACGACTGATAAGAGACTTCTCTCTGTTCTAGATAGTCACTTCATGGCCCTTCAGAAAGCCTCCGAAAGTAGCATCAAACCACATACAAACAAATTATTCGTGCATATGACCTCCATGTCAACTAAAACCAAGGCACGTCTCGTGCCCCATCAAGCGTAGACAGATGACAACCATTTAAAGGACTGAAGGCTCTCTCCATGTGTGCGAAGGCCACTTCCGAGAAGACCAATAGCCAGTTGCGCACCTCTTCGACAGCAGCCTGTCCCTCACATGAAGAGAGCTGTTGTCAGTCGTGGAATTGCGCATCAGAAGAGGCAACTGAAACCATGGCTACCGTGGTAAGCGTTGGAATATGCAACAAAGCGCGAGACTCACCAGGTTGGTCAACCTAGAGGATCAATACTTACATACGGATACAAGGGAGACAAACGAGACAAATTCGCCGCGGAAGAAAGAAGTCTTCACTCGTGCATGTCTTTTTTGAAACTTCCAGGGGCAATCTAAAAATGGGGGGTAATGGGGCCCATCGTGAGAACCATTTGGTGTCGCGGTGTACAGGCTTCGGTACTACCTCGCAACAATGGAACTAGGACCTTCGAGGCGACTCGGGATCATCATTGGAATATCCTACAAGAGGCTAAGAGGCAGGTTGACGACTAGGCTGTAATCTTGGCAACCATAATTGTCATCTTCACCGCTTCCGTAAAAGCCTCCTGAGATATTCCACAGATGTCCAAGAGTCCTGCCAAGTGCTGGGCAAGGATCTCGGGAAAATGACGCCCAGGTTGCCAAGGCAAGAGCAACGGCTAGATGGTGGCTGAGATCACTGCCAAGCCATGGTATTTACTGTCACACATTCACCAGGTCAATCAGGGCAATCGATATGAACAAAAAGAAAAAGTTCTATTCATCGAACCAAAAGACACTAGAAAACAACATTGACCTCTGTCGGCCAGTCATGAAGCAGAACAGCTGCTGCCAGTGAAGACCCAACGCCATGTGATGGTGAGAAACACAAAAGAGCCTCATGCCAGTAATCAAATCTGTCGAGTCGTGACTGTATTAAACGAGGCACCGTGGTAGCCTGCGTTGGATATCCTACACGCTCGCATAATGTATACTGCCCTAATCCTGGGCACACCCATTTTTTCCACCTCAAAGCATCATTAGATGAAGAGACCGTTTACAGAGCGACCATGGCAGCACCAACGGCACCAGCGGCGACAATGTAGGCGCCGATGGCGAAACCGCCGAAGTTGAACATGGGCTGGTAGGGGCTGCCGGCAGCAGCGTTGCCAGAAGAGCTGGAGCTGGGGTTGGCAGTGGAGGAGACGGGGGCGGTGGCGGTGGCAGCGGCGCTGTTGGCGGCAGAAGCGGAGGCAAGGGCGGAGCTGCAAGAGCTGTCGGCGGAGGAGGGGGAAACGACCTGACCCTGGCCATCGTAGTCGCAAGCAGTGCTGGCGGACTTCTGGGACTTGTAGTAGGTGTCCATGACGAAGGCAAGCTTCTGCTCGTCAGTGCACATGGAGTAGGCGCCGTAAACACCGGTGGTGGTGTTGGTGTTGATGCCGCGGCAAGAGTCAGGGGAGGCACCGCAGATGTAGCCGAAGATCTCGCCAATGGCAGAAGCCTTCAGGCCGTCCTTGGGAGTGCAAGAAAGAGACTTGACCATGCACTCGCAGAGAGAGCTGTCAGGGGTAGGGGGAAGAGCATCGCCGTGAACCTCCCAAGTGGAGGAGGTGCCAGGGCACTCGGCGGCCTTGTTGGTGGGGGAGTAGGAGTCCATCTGAACGGCGGCGGGGGTGGCAGCAAGAACACGGGAGGCGAGTTGGTCGTAGTTCTTCATCGTCTTGGCGACGCCGTTGTTGATCTCGACGAGACCGTAATCGTTGGCCTCCTGGTGGTACATGTAGACGATACCGCCAGAGAAGACGTCGGTCATCTCCTTCTCGTACAGAGCAGTGGTCTCCTGGAAGATACGGCCATCGGCACCGTCGGGGATGTTGCAGCCGTACTCGGCGAAAAAGACGGGGATGGAGTAGTTCTTGAAGAAGTCGATCTGGGTGGTGTAACCGGCACCGGCGAGGGTGTTCTTACCGCACCAGGAGTAGATGTTGTAACCCCAGAAGTCAATGGCGGTCTCCTGGTCACCGCAGTTGAAGTAGTGGGCCGAGTTGGTGCGAATGTCGGCGTCGTCGTTGGCGGCGTAGCCAACACCCATCCAGCGGTAGCCCTTGTCCTTGATGTGCTTCTTGGAGTCACGAACGGCGGCCTTGACGAAGGCAGAGGCCTCGGTGTTGGTCTTGTTGTTGGAGACCTCGTTACCGGCGAAGAAACCGATGGTGTTGTCGTACTTGGCGAGGGAGTCGATGACGGCGGTGTAGCGGTCGAGGAGCTCGGTGTTCCACTGGGCGTTGTCACGGTTGATGGAGAGCTTGGGCTCACCCAAGTCGGAGACGACGTAGATGCCGGCGTCGCTGAGGAGCTTCATGCAGGCGTCGTGGTTGTTCTTGGGGTCAATGGCGTAGGTTCGGATGGTGTTGGTGCCGGCCTTAACCATGATGGGAATGTCACGCTTGCAGGCAGTCTCGTCTGCGAGAGGGTCGTTGTATTCACCAGTCTTGGACTCGCCACCGGCGGCGGCGGTGTCCTGCTGGTAGGCAATACCCTTCATGTAGAACTGAGTACCGTTCTCGTAGAAGAACTTGGAGCCCTGGTTTGAATTGTTAGTGATATGTCAGGCTCGGTGGGGGTGGCGGATGGTATCATACCTTCATGACGATAGGGTCGAGAGCAGCGGCGTTGCTGGCGAGCAGCAGAGCCGCGGAAACGGCAGCGGCGACCTTACCCATTGTGATGGTTGTGTTGTGTGATTTGTGAGCGTTCGGTAAGTGTGGTCTGGAGGATCTTCTCGAACGGGTTGTCGTCGAGGTTGTTGTCGGGAAGTGGGAAGTGACGTTTAGTTGTTTTTTGTCTTTCCTGAATATCCGATCCAAACGGTCTGAAAAAGGCAGAAGTAATTGGTTGAGCTAACGAGAGTGCGAAGTGGTTTGTTGTTGATTAAAAGAATAGGGTTTCAGAGACAGTGACACATTCAAGAAGGATGAATAGGGCCTTGTCTAATAAATTCCCCTACAAGAAGAAACGATTGCGGATAGCAAGTGAGGGAGTGGACGGGTTTGGAGGAAACACGGAGAGGAGAAAGGAGAATCAAGAAGTCAGAGATTCTGTGACGGGAGGGAGGCGCGAGGTAGAAAAGCAGAAACACGCCCTGGAATGTGTGGTTAAGCCCCACTGGGTACGAGGTACATCCCACAGGTACAGAGGTACTTGTAGATGTATCTTTTCTAAGGCAGGTAATGATGGATGGGAAAGAGCGAGAAGAACTGAACCTGCCTGCAATTGCTACAGTGGAAGGAGTAGACTGTGGAAGGAAGGCACAGAGGATCGACTGGTGCGGTGGTGCGGTGATGAGGCAGGCACCGGCTAGACCACGGCGTCGAAGCATGGAACGGCGCGGAAGGCGTTAAAAGGTACCTTGAGCAGGCAGGGAAGGAAGGACCGGGGTCATGGATAATCAACAGGGGCAAGAGAGAAGGAGGGGCAGGGGTGACCCCTTTCGGTTTATCCTCACTGGCAAGCTTCTTCTGCTAGCCTCTTGCTTCCTCCAATCCTCCCCCCCTTGCCCTCCCACTCAGAGTCTCTCTCTCTCCTCCACTCCTCCTCTCCAATCTCTATTTTCCCTCTGGTTTTTTTTTGTGACCGTCCACTGTTCAGCATTCATCCAATTTCGCTCTCTCTCCAATTCATTGAGCAATCGTCCCGTATTCGATGCGCAAATTGGATCCCCTCGTGAATACTTGCGCTACCGTCTCATCGTACCAAACACCAATACGTGCATCTCTACATTCAGCAATTGATGCCGCTTATTGGATACACCATTGGCACGCACATTCAGACACCCAGGCCGCAGACACGAATAGCCGGCGCGAGAGCGAGGCGCAGCCGTCTTAGCACCATTTATTCATTGCCTGCATCTTCATTTCCATTCTTTGGACGAGACGAGCAAAAGAGAAGATGCGACGGTACCTGAAGCCACTGCGCGACACTATTGAATCACGAGGTACCTGCACATGTGCCAAATTAGCACTTGCACTCAACATGCATCTGCCAACCGAACCTACCAAAGGAATGTCATATTACCTAAGAACCTTCTTCTCTACGCGAAAGAAGAAGAAGAGGGACGAGATACGTACCCTGGATGCACGCCGGGAACCGCCTGGGCCATGTTCATCTCGTTTCAAGGTTGTGAGAGACTTGGCACAGTGTGGACAGAGGTCCATCCAAATCATCCTATGACGTCCGAGTAATTCGCTAACACCTGCACAGGTATCTACCATACGATAATGTTATGGTCTCATCTTCACTGCATTTCTCCCCGACAACTCACTTTCCTTCTGGCGCCGTCTCGAACCAACACAAAAACACTGCACCAGGGCACCAGGGCACCATCACCAACCCCCAATTCACACTGTAGCGGCCGGGGCCACGGTCCACCGTCTCATCCACCAAGGCCTTTAGTGAAATAGCGAGAAATAGGGGCAATCTCCACTCAAGGTGAGCTTCGGCCTGGAGAACCGGCTGACCTTCCAGACCGGGACTTGCGGACGCCGGGCTCATTTTCTCACAACCCAGCCGCCGTCCCTCGTCTGGTCCATCACAGGCTCACAGCTCATGGGTGTGCCACCAATGCACCCGCCTACCAGAACCATTGAGCCCCTCCAACAAGACGCCGAGATGCTCTAGCCTCTATACTAGGTCCTACAAGTAGATCGACAGAATTGGAGGCCATCGTGTGAGCCAAGCATCAACTATCACCATCTTTAGCCTCAGCAGATGAACCAAGAACTCTTCGACCTGGCTTGCTAAGAGGTCATTCACCTCGCAGCATTGGCATTTCTTGTCGTCCGTCCTCTACGCCTCACTACTCAGTTCCCATCACGTCCCGCTGTCGATACCCGCAGCGCCTAACCAGAAAGAAAGTCAATTTCAGTTCACAGGTTGTTGCCCTTTGCCCAGCCACTGCCCAGCGCGCTCTTCTCCCCTCAGGTCTGCCATGGCAAACTCCCACCGACTCTGCCCGGTCCAATCCAAGATGCTTGGGACGAACACGGCAGCGATCTGAAAGAATTTTTCAACCTCATCTGTCAGATACGGATACATCTCCTTGGTGGCACTGCAATCAACTTCCGGCATTGCTTTCTTGTTGTCTCCTCCACCGTGTCCAACTCGACTGTCAATATCAGCTTCCGAGGTGTCACTCGCCAAAGGCCTAAATCTCCAGCGAGAACCACAGATAATGTTACAGTGGCCAATCCAATACTCTGTGCAATGCAGGAGCAGAACACACCAGAGTGCCAGGCTCCCAGCAGATGCGCCGACGTCAAGCAATGTACTCGGTACATAGTCTGACTGCAGCGACGGTCCAGGCCTTCAGGCCAATCATCCCACTATGCGTCCGTTCCTCCAGTCATCCCACATCATCCATCCATGATCCATCAGGCTTGCAGCGCTCGGCTGTTGCTGTCTCTCAGCACTCGAACCCAGACGGACCGATGTTTCTGGCAAGTGTCCTATGACAAAGCGCTGCGCAATCTGCTCGTGTCCTTGCTTGACGGATGCCTCACTGCTGAGCAAATGCAAATCGAGCTGAGCTAGCCAACGCATGACGGACTGCTTCACCACCAGCTCGGGACGCACGGAGGCCGACCGAATTCTCCGAATTGTCGATGAAGCAGCGCATCGACAAACTGTCAACTACAGCCCCGGAGGCAAAACTTCATATTGCCGCCAATACGAGGCTTGGAGGCAGACCTACAGGCTGTGTGGGTGTGCTACTTCTACGGAGTACACAGTGAAGGCTTTTAGTTCTGACCAGCAGTGCAGTCAGCGCTAATCGCCATGTTCCCTGACTCGGCGGGGTTTTCCAGTACCGTGTTGGTGCTGGCAGCACCCATACTGGTAGCGTATGTATCCGTATGGCCACCTACTCGCCAGTTGCCAACTTTCAAGAGCAACAAAAATAGGACCGGCGAAGCGGGAGTCCAATTAACTCTTTTTTTGGTGTGGCCTTCCTTAAGTTGTTTACTCTTGGCCTAGCGCCAGGCTTAAACGACCCAGACATCCAGAGAGTCTCCAGAGGGAGCCAGAGGGACCCGGTCCTAATGTCGGATACGCTGTTGGCATTGGTTCAAGGCCCAGCATCAAACCATCAAACCCGGTCGTGCGAATCTCAATCTGGAATCACCTTTATGCTCGCCGCCCCGATTTTCCAACGACAGAATTGTGGTTTATGTGGGCTTCTCGACACTGGTTCATCTGCCTCGCAGGAAGCCAATACGATGGACAAACGATTTGCTTGCTTTTCCTTCACCCGTCTTGCGTCTCGTTTCTCCCCCGAGAATGAGACCTTTGGCCCATTTATCGGTACAATTCACTGTACTGGAAGAAGTGACCCGTTTATCAGAATTCGAGAACCACCAGAGTCTTGCTGATCGTATATTCGGATCCTCTATTCTATGGATTCCATGCGACGTGGTCTGCGGCAGTGCAACTCCAACCAAGCATTCCCTTCTCGTACCGCATTCGTTTACTATTCTTGTTGACAGTCGACAAGAAGATCGTTTCGGTGTCGCTCGCGCCCCGTTTCACACTCATTCAAATGACCCAAATCGCAAAAGGCGTCCATCCATCCCACCCGGCTATCATCCCGCGGCCACCCAGCGGGATCCCCGTCCGCCGTGTTCGCAGCTCCCACGTTCTCGATACCTATTCTTTCCTCGGAGTCTCGCGCCTTATCCTCATTCCTCACAAGCAAGTCCTTGTTGCTTATCTCCCCCCGGCTCACCCGAACAGCGACCGTCCCCTTTCCCTCCCAGCGTCACCAAAACCTTGAGCCTTGAAGGGGCCCACTCTGGCAGGATGATCCCCTCAAGTCCGTATCAAGTTGATGGGGAACCACTGAATCCGCCTCCAGCTGAACTATCTGCCACAGTGCCAAGAGATGGACACTACGCTCTGGAGTCTGCGCCGCTGATCAAGATTTTCCCAGGCCCAACGTCATCGGTGGGCGGGTTGTCGATGCCAATCTTGCTGTTCGCCCAAGCGGGTTGTTTCTTTCAATCTGGTCTAATCTGGCCTTCCTCGTCGGATTGGTGAATGATGGTTCCAGTCAACAAAAGTAAGTGGTGCCTGCCTGTGGTTCCCTAATGTTGATCTCGGAATACTCGAAATGCTTGATTCCTCCACCCCGGTGCTCCGTCGTTTATGTTCTCGTCTCTGGTTGCCGTTTGTCGTTAATCATTAGGCGCGTTATTCGTTTACTCATTACTCATGTGTTGTTCGTCATTCGTCACTACCCGGCGGGCCGTCAAGGCTATACTGGAATGCGATGATGCATCCATACGTCTGCCGGCCATGTTGCCTGCCCCACGGCATATCACCATCTGCCGGTGATCTTGAAATAGGCCTTGCCCACGCCGTAGCAGACCCCATCCCAGACCTCGTACGTCTCGCGCCAGACGGTACGGAGCGGGTTGCGCCCCGATGGGCGGCCTGATCTGCCATTTCGCTGGTATTGATTGACGGTTGTCATTGTAGCTTCTCGTCTCGGTCTCGTGATTTACTTTGGTGTTTGTGCTTTTGGTACACGTTTCGTTCTCGTTTACACGATATTCAGAAGCTCACTCACTATATCACATCATGAGCAGTCCCGCTGCTTCATTAAATACGCCTGGGCAAAAGCTGCCTCATCTCACAAGAAGTCTGCCTACATCTAGGTGGCTGTCACCCATCGCCAAGGTCATTGGTCGCCCATCCTGTCACCCGGCGATGCGACCATCACGAGCGCTCCCGCACAGCCCGCAGCACACCGCACCGCCGCCCGCCCACCTGACAGCCGTTCCATTCGTAGTACGGTTTGCACCTAGCCCTACGCTGGAACCCGAGCTAAATGGAACGAACCCGCCTCGCCGCTGCGGATGGCCGCTGATACTACCTACCTCGCCACCTTACTACAACGTGCAAACTTGACCGCTGACCAAACAGAATGCAGAGAGCAGGCGACCGGGAGCTGCCTAAGGAACACCCACAAGGGACATCTCACGGATCCTAACGGCTACCACACGCGCTGATCAAGTGCCTATTTCGACTCATTTCTCACCACGAAGAACATTCGCCAGTGCGCTCAGCGTTTGTTAATAATCCTCCGGTCGGCCTGGAAGGGGAAGCGCACGAGTGGCTCACTTTTTCGACAACAGGCACAACGCGACGTTCGAATTTCTGGTTGAGGGATTGATGGCTGCGGCGCAGGATCCCAGCGGTGTCACTGCGCTCACAATGACGGGGCCTCACACACACATCCTCTCACTCTTGTTTGATACCACATGCAGGCAAAATCAAGCAACTAGATGTCTAGGCATACGTTGAAGTAAGCCTCGCCAGACTCGGTTTGTAGATGTATGCGTGTGTGTCACACACCCACGTTTCTGTGCTAATGTCTCACGGCCCGCGGACACCGACAGCCCTTCAGCCCCTTTCAATCCCCCGCGTGCTGTGCTCCCAGTTGGCACTTGCTATGGTGTGTCTTGCCTGTCGTGCATTGCCCACCCGTCACTTTGCCCCTATAGGCCGTTTGGCAACGGGTTATGACGACGAGGAGGAAGGCGGTGATCTGTGAGACCTGGGGACGGCTGAGGCGCTGGTCTCATCTACAGGAAGAATCTGGCTGGAGAGGTAGCCGTTTTGCCATGTCACGGGCAGACAAGGAGTCAACAGTTGGTGACTGGATATTCGCCACTGAATCTCACAATGTCATGTAGGCTGGTTTAGACCGCAAGCTTGGATGAGTGAATTATACAGATGTCTCTTTGCTACCTAGAGACAGGCTACTGCCTCATGATGATGATTTGTATTTCCTCTCGCCACCTTTGGGGCAAGTCTTCTGATGGCTCTTGCCACATGCAGCTGATGGTCGATATCTGACGACTGCTGCCATGCATTGCCCTCGAGAAACTCATCCACCAGTGTCATACTTGCTCATCTGGGCAAGTTTTAGTACATTTCCCGTAATCCTTTTCGTCCATGTCGGTATCTTGCCCATGCTTAGGCACATGATATTGGTCGTTCGTAACATTTTCGAGCTCTCTGGCTCGCTATAGATGCGTCTCATTGTGCCATTGTGGTTCCGTGATCCCACGGGGTGATGATCTCTCCGTCATTAGTCCACGCACTGAATGAAAGTGATAACGTAGCAATCTCTGATATACTGGTGAGGGATGTCAGCATTCCCGAGCGTTTCGCAAGTTGGAATAGATGGGACGAACGGGGGTACTCGAAGCAAGTATGTTTGATTGTAGAAGTTGTAATTGTAACGTTCATGTTGTCTTTCGCCGAGCGGCAAGAGCGGGGCTGCTCACTCGAGACGGATTCTCTTGGTGGCTGCCCGACTTGTTAGCATCATGGAGGCAAGAGAAAGGGTAGAAACTGGCGACTTACCTCGCTCGCCGTCGTCAGTGATCTTGATAAGAATCTTGGTCTCCCCGGTGGAAATCGCGATTTCGACAGGCTTGTTGTTGCCGCTGATGATTTTGGGGTCCGCCTCCTGGGAAGGCATGCTGTCGAACAGAGTGATGATGGGCGAGAGGCGGAGCCTGCGGCGAGGCTTGTAAGCCTTCTTGGTCGGAGTGGTGGGAGGCGTGAGCATCGGGTCGTCCATCTTCTTGGTCTCGCCCTGCTTCTGAAGGAACTTGTCATGATGCTGCCTGAACATCTCGCTGTCGACGTAGTCGCAGCTCTTCGACTCCATGTGCTGAGCAAACGGGTCGTCCTTGCGCTCCCACGCCCAAGCCTGCATAGTGCAGAAATCGCAGACGACTATATCGCCTCCGACTTTCTGGTTGCCATCGAAGCGATAGCCGGCGCCCGCCATGTCCTCGGGGGAAGGGAGGGAATGAGGCCAGCGGCCGGGCTTGCCGTCCATGCCGCGGTCAAAGTAGGAGAGAAGACGAACGCAGAACTCGTCCATGTTGGTATTGAAATTTGGGTGATGGCCGAAGTATGTCAAGGTGCTTGAAGGATGTGAGTAGAAGGCGAATCTAAAAAGCTTGTGATGGTTGCTATGTAGTCAAGCTGGGGGCAGAAGCGGTTGAGGAAGAAAGAGAGTGGGCGATGATGGAAAAGCCGGGAATGATTCAAGGCAAGTAGAGAATAGAAATGGAGGGATAATCACTTTGAGAGTAGAAGGAAGGAAGGAGCAGGCTGAAAATGAGAAAGGAGGCTCTCGCCTGTTTTGTGAGTTGGCTTGCTTTCTGCGGGAGGGATAGAGACGAGGCCTCGTGATACAACGAGCAAGAGTGTGACAGGAGACGTGTTGATATAGGACGTGGAAGAGGCAAGATGGGTCCCATCATCTCTGGTCATCACTAAGGTACCCGGGCAAGAAGCCTCCTTCCGCCGGGACTAGGATCCGACTGCTCACTGAAGTTGACGATCAAATCACAATGCGGTGGGTGCCAAAGTACAAAGATACGAATGTTGACCTTTGCTGGTTCTTTGTGACTTAAATACTTCGACTTCTAGGCTTTGTGACTGGGAGCAACACACAAAGACGTTGTAAAGTCAAGACTCGAACTTTTTCAACGCAACTTTCTTTGTCACCGTTGTCTTGAGTCTCATCAAGGCAACAGAAGAGCGATGGGTGAATATCCTCTTGCGCCAAACAATGCTATTTCGATATTTCAACATACTCAACTTGAGCCATTCCTGAAGATGACTTCATAACATAGGGCTAACAGGCCGAATCCTGCTCTTGGGTTTGATGTACATTGAAGAGTTGTTGCTAGAGACCATATAGTCCTGTTGTCGTTGCGTCGTCCCTGGAAATACAGGCAGAACGGATCATCATTGGCAAAGTATCAACATTGACTCTGTACTTGCAGCAACTTCGTCTGATTTGCTATCTCTTGATTGCTGTCGGTCACTTAAACTGTTCTAACGCTTTAGTATCTAGGCACTAGAAATGGAAATATAATGAAAACTTGCATACAGTCCAGCCTATGATCAACAATACCCTCAAATCAATGAGCTTCATGGTGCGTGAGGATAAGTCTGGCCTATTAGAATATTACAGTGATCAACGGTTTGAATTGGCTAAGTGAAGTGGCTACTCTTTGGCAGCTGGCTAGTGCAGACCACATACTGTATGTATCATGATGCGCCTATCGACTCATACGCTACACGGGTGGTGTCGAAGTGCGTTACCAATCTCCTTTCACATGAACCTGTAGGCCTTCTGTCTCTCAATCTCTCAGCTGACCGTCCCCTTGATATCTCCAACCAGGGATACAGATGTGACCTCGGGAGTTTTCCCCATTAGAAGTCGCGTATATTCCTACCAAAGCACCTAAGAAGTCAAAGTTAATGAATTTGCAGTATAGCATCGGGTTCATGGGGGTTCATGTTACCGGTGAAGATTGGCCGTAACAGAGCTGCTGGGGCGTAGTCGACGATTTTCATTGCTGATTGATGGGCTGTCGGCGAAGCGGAGAATGCGTAGTGTGTGGTGTTGCATGCCTTGATTTCCAGCGTCATTCTTTGCTCCTCCAAGACCGGCAGTAACATAGTAGGAACAACTCTTTCAGTCGATACATCGTTGTAATTACCTCGGAACCGGAGTTGTGCCGCTTTCCTCGCGGTACCGTTGGTCTCAGCCGACGCAGGTTGCGTGATCCCGAGGGAAAAGTGAGTTGCCTCACTTATAAACACTGTCGCACCAACTTCGTCTACGTCACTCATATGACTGATGTCGAAGTCAACACTGAAGGTGAAGAAGCTGTGCGATTGACGACGTAGCAGAAGTGTGACTGCATCGCTGGCACCGTCATTATATTTTGTAGAAGAAAGATTCCCTGCTGAAGGTAGCAGTTGAAGACCACAGTGTTCCTCGGTAGGTGTGAAATTGTAAAGAGTATCGTTGGGATAACGCCAGTGTACCAAATGTTTGGGCCTTTCTTTCTTGACGAAATCGATATTGTCATCTACCACAACTGTGGTGTAAGAGTGCACGAGGTTGTTCACAGGTGATGGAGAGGCCCACCCAGACATCCTACCTCGGACCGGAGACATCACAGGCCACTCTCCTGTGTCCCATGTCACGGGGAAAAGCACAGTTTCTCGTCCCATGGGAATGGCTTTGTTGTCGAAGTTGATGCGGATAGCGTGCCCGACTCCCCACCAATTCTTAATGACATCCTGGAACAAATCAGCATGACCTACAGCCTGGAAATATTCCGTCGTGTTTGCGTTGGTCAAAATGGGATTCCCCGGATTTGGTTCGTAAGGTCCGTTGACATTTCGAGATCGAGCAATTGTCTCCATATGCCCAAGAAACGTGCCCCCTTCTGCGATCATTAGGTAGTAGAACCCGTCCTTTCTGTAGATATGTGGCCCCTCTGGAGCTTCGCCACCCGTGCCGTTCCAAATATTTAAAGCTTGTCCAATTTCGCCTGTCTTGAGGTCGATAACGGCTTGAAATATGCCTGGAAGCACGTCGGGGTATCCTGCCCATGTTACATAAGTCTGGCCATCGCTGTCCCAGAACAGGCTAGAGTCGTATCCGTTTGCTTCAAAGAAAAGTGGTTGAGACCAACTCAATGAATTATAAGGATCGGTAGTCGTCAGAATGAAGTTCCTCCATCGAGATGAGTCGTTGACAGGCAGGTAGTCCAGAACCAGAGTGGATGTCAAGAAGAAAGTGCCATTTCGAAATCGTAAAGTCGGCGCCCAAATACCCCCCGTCTCCGTCAGAGGTCCTGCAAAGTCAGGTAACTGGTCTTGGCGAGAGAATGCATTGCTGATGAGTGACCAATCCTGTAAGTTTTGGCTGGCTGTGATGGGTAGACCCGGAAATGCCAAGAAGCTGGACGAAGCACAGAATAACGTGTGGTTGAGCTCTTGGACGAAAATGCAGCTCGGATCTGGATAGAAGCCTGGTAGAACAGGATTTGTAAAGGTCGAATTTTGGGCTAACACCATAGCAGTAAACCAAGTCATTAGGAACGGGGTAAAAAGAAAAAACATCGTGAAGTTAATGTCGGCAGGTTTGCTTGAGAGCAGGATCCTGGACGCTCATAAAGTGCCTTGGAAAGTTTGAATGATGAAAGGATGTCGGGCAGACTTTGACTGTCTTATGTGGTCCCTCATACAGGCAGTGGAAATTGGTAGAACTGATCTGGTTGACCACACTTTGAGAATTCTGCGCAACAGGATGAGAGCTATGGTGTGTCATCAAATTGATAATTGCTGTTGAAACGCTGTATTGGCACCTCCGCTCAGCTGTGTACCTGAACTGAAAGCTCGCTATAAAGTCGGCCGAGAGAAAGTTTGACGAATTTTCAAGTCAAGCAGAAGCTGACAATTGCCTGCGCCCCGAGGTAACTAGACCATGCTGCTTCCACCTCAGTCTCCCACCCTGTGTCTCCATACCAATTTAAGAGGTCTGGTTAGCATCGTGTAAAAACTGTCTGGACATCATAATGAACGCGGATCTTCTTGTGGGCAAGGATCAAAGGAATAGAGGAATGGAGCTCATGACATCAATCATCGTACCGAGCACATGCAGCCCAGAAAGCCTGTCAGTTATCGGCCCAAACAAACCACGATTCGCACAGCGATGGGCATAACCATGTTACGACAGGGTTACCGTATTCTGTTCGTCGATACATGTATTCTGCCTCGCTCCTACGCCACAGCCAATCAAATAGCCAGAAATACGCGGGTCATACACGTTGACTTAACCAGTAACGATGTCCAGTTCCATCGAAGGATACTGATTTCACCTGCTCACATTTGCCGGCGTATTATAATGACGTCGCAATCCAAGTTGGATCTTCGCAATCATAGGAAGTTCTAAAGCTACGGCGTGACTTCATTAGTATTCTTTGGACCCTGCAGTCATTGCGATGGATGTACGGAAAAAGAAAAAAGTCTACGGGTCAGCTGGGCCCGACAGGATACGCCACGCTTTTCTCAAAAGTTCACGTATTGTTCACAAATCGTATACAGAAATCTGGCGTCCAGGAAACATTAAGACAATCGCCTTCTCCGTGGTAAAGAGTCACACGCAGATCCTCGTAATCCTTTGGTATGTTAATCCTGGAAATGGAACGCTGTAGCTTTGCCTACTGGCGCACGAATACGCGTACGGTGTATTGATATTTGCGTCCATAGAAATTTACCCCGATTCGCTTGCAATAACATCACACGTTGACTGAGATCTCAAAGTGGCGTAGAGTACGTGACGAGTCGGCTGCCAAGGCAGGACCTTGCATGAGGCGTGGCTCAGAGACTCAGGCTTTTGTGCGCCGAGAGATCATTATGCTATAACGCTATATCCGCTCCTATGCGAGCAGCGCGAGATCCTTACGGCAGTCTTTCCTACTCAGGGGTCCACAATAAACTCGACCTGTGAGAGTCGGGTAATCGACACAAATATCAAAGAGCAAAGGCGATTTGTCGATACCTCGCAGTGTCTAAAAGCGAAAGCGAGACTACGTGTCAAGTTTGCTAAACAAGTCGGCGCATCTTCTTAATCGAACACAAAGGTCTATAATATATTGAGTTTTGCTTAGCGACGCTGAAAGCGGCCATTCTAGGTGAGCCCTAGAGTGAGGTAGATGCTCTTAGACAGTGTATTGTACAGCCAATACTCATCACTCAACCGCTGCCAGCCTTGTAACAATCACCATGTCCATGTCGAGGCTCTATGGTGGGACGTAAATCTCAAATGTTGGGGCAGACTGTCCAATGATGCCGCTGGACCTGCCTTCAGGGTATCTTTTCCACGTCGCCAGCAGGTTGCCCCCGGCATCTTTCAGGTACATCGCGTTCATCGACATGCTCGAATTGGGACACTCCAACTATAGCTTAGACCCTGATGGACGAACCTGTGAGAGTTCCCCATTGTGTTGGTCTTCATCTTGATCGGCACGCCGCGGAGAATGACGTCCATTTTCGAGGACAGGGAGTGATATTTCGCTGTGCTCAACGCTTGACCCGAAACCTGCGCGCGGGGGTCTGTATGTAACACGGTAACGGTCTTATTTTCTTTGTTGCTGTGCAGGACGTATAATGGTGTTGTGGTACCGGTTGCGAGATCGTCCCGGTCTATCATTGTTTGGGCACCACCGAGTCGTTCAACCTGGCGGAGAACTTCGCAGCGTGAGCCGGATGGCGTTGGTGTTGCGTCGCAGCCGGTGCTCATCATATTGTGTGATATCTGGTTGTGTTGATCGATGCGTTTGTTGACGAGGGAAACAAGTTCATACATCTCAGAGAGGTTGTAAAGAATAAGGTCTGTAAGGTATTTATGTAACAAAGGTGCGGTAGTATCTTACTTGGTGTGGCTTGTTGATGATGCTTGTTTTTGGTTCACTGCTGCGTTGATCTAAATGCGTTTAAGGTTGGGAAAGACATTTGCATTAATACCTCCTTTACCCAGGCTCGGAAAGCCTCAAAAATCTGCTACTTTGTCTTGAACATCATAAGGAATACTTGGAGCTTGAAAAGAACGGTTCAAAACGACTTTAGATTTACTAATGCGGTAAGCCAAGATGCTATCTCGTGGCTTAACGTTGCTGATCTTTGGTCAACCGCTTTTGCTTGGCAGAGCTGAGAAAATGTGGCGCAGGGTCTTCCAGCTCTCTCACACACCTCATAGGTTCCGTGAGAGTCGCCGAGGTCGCTAGAGTCCATGTTGTTTGTTGGTTCGCTCATGGTGTGAAGCCTCAGGAGCGTGGCAACCAGTCTCAGCGACTTGGCTTGTGGCACAGGATCCGTCAGATGACGCGTGGTCAGCAGTCCTAATGCCACATTATTTGATCAGCTATGAACATTCACATTAAAGCCACATCATTCTTTTAAAAAGGCAGTCTGTCCTCAACTCCACCTCTGAAGAGTTGAAGCTCTAACGTCTCTCGCTTCCTTTTTCGCGGAATTTTAGAAGTCGTCTGAAGTTCATGGTGCCTCAACCCCGCACCCCGTAGTTTAAATGCGCTTGCGGAGTCGTCCGCGACCTGTTGGGATGTCTACCAAATGAGGAAGTTTCCCCAGCCAAATGACTTAGCGTCATGCGCTGTCCCTCGCTTTCGTACTTGAAATGGCGGGCGGAGTCACCGCTTCCACCACCTTGGTAGCCCAATATAAGGTGGTGACATCCCAAATTTTGACGACGATGTTCCAACGCCACATCTCACCTTGAGCCTCTCAATCAACAGCCAACTATACAGTGGCCAAGATGGTGCCACCAATTCGTACGCAAAAGGACGATAGGGCTATTGCCTTCGCCAAGACCCTCGAGCATGTGCCCTGGTGCGACGACTACGAGAAGATGGTCTCTGGCATGCTTTACAGTTGCATGGCGCCTGAACTGGTAGCATCAAGACACCGTGCCCGTCGACTGGCTCAGAAATTCAACACCTACGTTCCAGGAGACGACGAATCTGCAGACGACGTCGCCAACAAGAGAGTGGGCATGATCAAGGAGCTTTTCGGCGGTATTGGAAAAGATGTCTATGTCGAGCCTAGCTTGCAAGTTGATTATGGCTGCAACATCACGGTCGGAGATCGCTTCTATGCCAACTTCAAGTATGTGGTCTTTGAATGAGTTGCCCCATTCTCCCATGAAACAGACGATACTGACCGATGATCTGTAAAGCTGCGTCATTCTCGACTGTGCTCATGTGACCATTGGGAACAATGTATTCTTTGCCACAGGAGTCAGTCTCATCACAGCAACCCACGAGACTGCCTTGCAGTCCAGGAGAGATAACGTCGAGTACGCAGAGCCCATCACCATTGGAGATGACTGCTGGATCGGAGCGAATGTCACAGTGTTACCGGGAATCAACATTGGCAAGGGGTGCACGATTGGTGCCGGTGCGCTTGTGAACAGAGATATTCCAGAGTACTCAGTTGCCGTTGGCGTTCCGGCCAAGGTTGTCAAGAAGGTAGAACCAGTTGCTTAGACAAATTTCGGAAAATAAAAAATACAATCTGGCATTGAACATGTGTTGTGTGAAGTTGTGAACTAGCCCTGCCAACCGAAACCTTTCGGCCTCTGCCCGGCTTTGCAAAAGTCCGCGCTGTAAGTAAACACCGCCAGCTACATCGCTCTAGTCTTGGCTCGCTGCAGCCGGGGACCTACATACCGCAGATCACATCGGCTGCAATCATTAATGAATTATTGAGTAACTCGATAGACGAATTACACGTCTTAGTATGATATTAGAAGGAGTTGTGATGGTTCCACAGCCGGGGTCTCCTCAAGACCATGACTTGGACTAAGGTATGCTCAGTTCTGGCTTAACACAAAGCGTTCGACAAACCAAAGATTCGGTATCCAAGAGATGTATCCAGTGATAGATAGCGCAAACTTGACTTCCATACCAGCGGCGATCATCAGGGGCAACTGCCATCGCAGCATCACTGCGGCATAGGTCAGAGCAAAGTTTCTCGTCATCCAAGCTTGGTGACTCTTGACGTCTCCATTCGACCAAATAGCAACAATGCTACGTCTAGCAGTCTCAAGCCATCCCAAGGCGAGGAGAGCAAAGCCGACCTTGCCCCATGCCAGCGCCTCACTGTTGAATGTGACGTAGAACGCAGCGATGCCACCAGTCGTCACGGCAAGGACGTAGACCCATCCTAACCAGCGATGAATCTGGATGTATTTCTGCCACAGCTGCGGGAGGAACTGGAAGGGGCCGAGGCCCATCGCTACAAGGGAGCCCCCGATGTGGATGACGCCTCCGAGTGAACTGATGATTCTTGCCTTGATTTGTGGATCACCCGGGGTGTTTCCGGTGAAGAATGCAGCACCGTAAGCTGAAATGATGAACGATGGGATGGCCATAAGCCACCATTGAAAACTCGGCCAGCTTGAGCGCGATTGCCGAGTAGTTCCCACGGTCTTCTTGATCGGGGCCTCATGTTGAGATTTGGATGGTATGACAGTTCGGACATCCTTGGAATTTGAGTTCTCCTGGACTAGAGCTTTACGGTGTGAGAAGCTTGAGTTAAGCATCGTTTCTTGTTTCGGCGATGTTGATATTGTCGTTGTAAGTTGCTATCAAATGTGTAAGCCAATGTTTCTGGGGCGATGGGTGGAACTTTCTCACAACTGTTGTACAGATATCCTAATGTGACTATACATCTGTAAAGAAGTTTACAGAAGAAGGAATCCTGCATCCCTTTATAACGAAACTGAGTGGGACGAGGGGTGGCTGTCGTTGACGGCTAGCGGGGTCTTATGTTCACCGTAGTCCGGGCTGGTGGATATGAAACCGGAAAGTATTACAGTCAGTCGGTACCTACTATGCGGTCGGCCAACGGAGTATTGCAGTATGCTACTTTGCCGCCGCATATATTGAAGGGAGTCTAGTTCTTGGCTCGTGTGGAGTGACGTCTTGCCTTTGAGATGAATCCTCTCTACGGCCGCCTGTAACACTCCGAAGATGTATGCTAATTTCCCCGCTTCCCGTAATCGAACGGCATAATCATCTTGTCAATCTATCACTCGTCATTGGCGGTCATGGGGAGCATACCTGTATGTATCTGGGTTTGTTCCGTTTAGTCAACTAGATGGGTTTGCGCCGAGTTTAAGGGTCCAGGCTTTAGTGCACCAGGCCAATCAAGATTTTGGCATTGCCAGAAACCAAACAGAAGCCAAGAGCAAAGTGGGCGATGAGAATGCTGACGTACCATTATGTGACTCTAGCGCAGTCAATGTCTATGCTCGCTTTCGCGAGAACGGGCCATTCCTCCGTTTTTCGGCGGACAAACGGACTATTCCGTGGACCAGCGTCCCTGCCTCGTCTTCCCTTCAGTAATCCGTATCTCATATATTTCCCAACATAATCTACTAGTAATCTTTTCAAATTCAGAGGTCAAAGATCCAGCTCCTCTACGTTATCTTCGTGGGGCCTGTCTACGCGTTGGCAGGTCTCAGCGACACCAATTGTGACAATAAGAGTAGTGCTCAAGGTAAGGTAGCGTGACTGGAGATCGATAGTTTTAGCATGTCTGAATATTTGAAAGAAGAGAAAAGCCTAAAAAACTGCTTATCGTCGACGTCGATTTCAGCAAGGAAACGAGTCAACGACATCGGTCTTACTTGAAGATGGCTGATCGGGAATAAACCTCGTTGATTGGTGTCGCGGCTTCTGAATGCGACTTGATTTAGGCAAGAACCTCTTAATAACGTAGCACCTTTCATGTCACGGCTTCACGATGAATAGAAATGTGTCCGCTACAAGCAGCGTCATTAAGATTCACCTTGTATAAGCTTCAACAAGTCAAAGACTCAATGCTTCGGATAAATCTCACCCGACGAACCGTGGCCTGCTAGGATCAGCAGGATGAGTCGAAATTAACCACGCTCTGATTATATCATCAATAGGAAGTACATCGATATTTACAAGGGCAGCAAAAGAGCCTCAGCCCCTTTGTTCAATACCCAGCGGTTCGGGTGACAATATGGCCGACGGTTAACTGCGTATTAGTTGTCAATCAAATTAGTCTAGTTACTGTAGATACATTCCCTTGCCAAGAAAGTAAGTCTAGCTCTTCCTACTCACAAATAGGATAGGATGATAAGCAAGTCAACAGATTGTGTTGCTCTCTTTGCAGCATGCCTTCACATGACTAAACGAAGATGTGGCCCGCCGTTGAAACCAACTAAATAAACTTGCCGTTGTCAACGTCTGTATGAACCTCGAACTGTGACAATGTCGCAAATCGCCAGACAAAAGAAGCTTAGAAGCGATGCCGGTTTCTGAGGAGCGTTTAAGTGCACCGGGTTGCGTTGTCTAGTTTTCCCATACAAGTTCAACAAGCTATGAAGCTGCAGTCTCATGAATGCTGCACTCTCTGCCCGCTTTCGTGAAAAGCATATCCACTCATTAGTTATGCTCACTTCTGGGTTTTTGATATCGACGAGTTTGTAAAAGTATAGATGTACGGAGACACATGATGGACGCCACATACTTACGGGAATTGCCGCGTCAGTACGGATAACGGATGTAGTTCATTTTTCAGCACGGAACCTCGGCAGAGAGATCTACGGATCACCAACTCGAGTCAATACCCTGGAGTTGAAGAATACCGCAATAAAAAAAAAACCGGGCACCGCCGCAGGCCCGCAGTGGTCGTTTCAAACGACCGATGTGGCTGAGACAATGACAAGGACCACGGCTATGGCCGTGTTTGCCTGTTTGGGCCTTTCAGTATAAGTCGCCGACATATTCTTGACCCAAATCAGTTCTGACGAGATCTGCTAGCAATACGAAGATGGCCATAGCTTACCTCTGTACTAAGTATATCCGCAGTAGGGCGGTGGAGTCGCTGGAGCTTTGACCATCGGCCTTTTAAATGAGCGAGAACGACTCAGTATCTCCTCCTGTCGATGATTGTATGGCGGACGTGGGATCCAGCTAGCCCGTGGCGGAGCTCTTTGGATTTGACTGTAGTCCTTCGGCACCATACCTTGCAGTTTCACCTTGAGCTGCACGAATTCACGTCGTTTTCAAGTAGTTTCAATAATATTCGACTCCGTTTTTCTGTCTAGTCCCTTTCTATAATATATGTACATGTATCATAAATATTCGTATGCATCGTATCATGGTATCTCTGAGCAACCTGTGCTTATTGTGCGCGTTCACTGAACAGCGACGGCGGTCTTGCCAGTGCCGTATCCAATGTTGGTAACAGGGAGGGTGGTCAAAGCCTTGACGGAGCCGAGGCCACTGGGGCAGGCAGCCTGGTTGCTAACAGCCAGGTTGAGGGTGCAGACCTCATCGACACCCCAGGTGCAAGCAGGGTTCTGGATGTTGTAGAGAGCGTAGTTCTTGGCGACGAAGCTGTCGGGCTCGGCGAGGCAGGAGGCAAGGTAGTTCATGCTGTTCGCAGCAGAGAGAGGGAACTTGCCGTCCTTGAGAAGGTGACTACACTCGCTGGCATCGACGGCTTCCCAGTTCATGAGAACACCACCACCGACGGTGGGGTCGTCAGTGGCAGACTTGCCGGTGGCGAGGTAGTTCCAAGCGTCGTAGGAGATGTCGAAAGCACCGCCAGATTGATCGATGCGGAGGAGGTGAACGCTTCGGTCACCGTTGGAGACCTTAAGGCAGACGTCGTTGCAGCTAAGAGGGTTGGGCCAGTAGGCAACGCGGTTGGTGTCGATCTTGCAGCCGAGAACACCAATGGAAGAAGAGTAGGAGTCGTGGGGCGTCATGCTGTATGAACCGGACTTGCCGGCGTCCCGGATGGGAATGGTAGCGGCCGAGACCAAGGTAGCCGTGGCGGCAAGGAAGGTGGTCAAAGTGGTAGAGAACATCTTGACTGAAGTTGAAGGTGATATGTGGATTTCTTTCCGAAAAGGATTGTATGTAGTTGATATGGCGGCCAGGTGGACGGCTGTCAAAGATTCGAGGCTGAGGGTGGTAAAGACTTTCACGTCGAGGGACAGGAGGTTCGAGCTTGGGAAGGAGTGAAGCTACTGGTTGAGCGTTCAAAAAGAGTGATGCCTGATCTGGGAGCTTTCAAAGCTGGCCGAGGGAATGACTGGGGAAAGAAGAAGAGTTGAAGAGGGAGTGTAAGGATGGTGGTGGTGATCAGGACAAGGCCATCCCAGAAGAAGATAGGACTGGGGGATTATATACAAAATATCATCCCTACAGGAGACGAGATGAAAACGTTAAACATCAGCCGGAAAGATGAGATGTCACTCACACGTGCTGGCAGTCAGTGCCTTGCCAGGCTTGCTATTCCCTTCGGTCCATCTGCGGAGGCCCACGTAGCAAGGCGCTATGTCCCCACAGACGCCGCAATCCTCCACGATGACACTGCGCCTGCACAGCTGGACTTGGATCCTTTGAGTTTGAGCCTGGGATGGGAGGGGCCGAAGAAGACCGGAGACGTTTGTGTGCCTGGAGTCTTTGAAGAGAGTCAGCGACTCAACGGACCCGCAGGGCAGGAGTTGGCGAGTCGGGTTCATTGTTCAATCAAGGACTGCCATGAATCTAACAGAAAGAGGCCGTGGAACCTTCAGAGAAATCTTCCCCTCCCCCTCATCACGCTGCGGTGTTACTGTCAGAAACAAAGTGAGAAACTTAAGTTTAGGAAGCCCTAACGGGAGGGCCAGCCGCGGGAAACATTACGCTAGGCAAGGTCCAAGGAAGACACATGGAGTTTGTCAGTTGGTTAGGCGCAGAGAATCAGCCAAAGTCGGAGAAAAGACCAGGAGGAAGACATGGCCAAGGCCCAACAAGGAAAGGGGGGTACGCTCTGTCAGGGGGTGAAAATCGCTCATGGGTCGCCAAGGGGCCCGGATTAGGTTTAATGACAGGAACGGCTCAGGAACCAAACGCTCTTTGGCTCGTGCTAATCCATAGTTCAGGTCCCGACTCCCAAGTAGAAGGGAGCCAAGGGGCGGTACATCGGCAAGGCGTCGGCCACATCTCATGCCAGCACGGGAGTTATGGGCGCTGTGCCTCTTGGAGCCTCGAGGGAACATTGAAAGAGGGGGTGGCCTCGGCGGCCAAGGCCCAAGGGCTGAGAAGGATGGCCTTTGAGATGACGGCGGATGCAGGTACAACGCAACGCAACGTACGGGAACCTGGGCGTACTGCCGAACGGGAGGGCAAAAGAAACCGAGCGAGCTTGACTGGTTCGAGAGGCACAGAAGGGAACCCGCCGCCACGCGGTTCTAGCCCTGACGCTTGACTCGGCGCGGAGGCGCGGACGGGTCACCCGCAAGGACCGGAGTCTGCTTCTGGCCAGTCGGAAGATGGGGATCCCAACCTAGAGACAAACCACGAGCCCACGACATGCGTAGTGTGCAGCGATCGACAGGGCGGATTGTGCTACGGTGCTAGTTTTTCACAAAATGGTCCCACAAGGCTCCAATACCCGAGCCAGCTTTTTGCTTTTTGCTCTGCCGTTTCGGTTTTCCAAGAACTGCTCTACTACTCCAAGCAAGTCACAAAGTCACGGACAAGTCTCACGGGTCTCCAACAGGCTCTTCCACTTGCCCCGAAACTATGGACCGGTGGACCGCCGGGCACACAGAGTTGGAGCCAGTTGGTGGGCGTGTCCGCTTTGCCAACTCGCCAACACCTTCTCCGCGTTGGCAACCGGGCGGGACTTGACGGGTACGTGACGGCCAGTTGGCGTCATGTCGAACAACGGATGGAGGGGTAAGACGACCAAGACGTTTGTTAAGTGCTCTAGCGAGAAGTGCTTGCAGCTTGTACCCATCTAGCGGGGTTTACGTCGTTTGCCAATGAGAAACTTGGTTTTGTGAGCAGAGGGATTGGAAATTGGTAGAGGCTACTTCTTTTGACGTGAAGCAAATGCCTCGCCGCGGCTCACCGCGACGGCGGCGAAGTGGCACGCAACCGGCTGGAATGCAGGCTCTTTTGCATTCTTTCTTTCTTTCTTTCTCTCTAGACAATGCTTTGTAAGTTGCAACTGTCAGATTTTTTCCCTTTCCTGCATCGCAATAGGTCCGAAAGTATCTTCTTTCTGAGCGATTTATGTCCGTACCTTGCCCGATCCCGGCACTTTTCCGAGGTCCAAGAAGAACTTGGAGGGGGTCTAGGCCGTTTCCATCTCATGATATTTTCATCACCGCACATGCACGGAGAATCCTCCGCTGCTGACTCCTGTCAGCGCGCATTCTGTGCGACTTCGGCAGTTGCTGGCACCTCTCGAAGGGCTTAGTCATAATTGTTAAGGGCCCTTTGCCTGGGTAAATTATTCTTCCTCTCAACGGACATCCTGAGGGATTTCCAATGCCACTATTTCTGAGTCATCCACAGAGAAATCACTCATGGGTCCTGAAGCCCGCGTGGCTGCTGCAAACGGACGGACCGGCGGCTCGACCAACAAAAGTCTCATTGAAACAAACTTCTGCACCACACAGACGGACCACTGAATAACCAACAGAGCTGCCCTTCAGCACTCTTGTTCGGTAAAACTTTCGGTAACACGCAGAAAAAAGATGAAGATTAACAACCGGGGCAACCTAAGCTTAAATGAATGGAGCCCAGCCAAGAAACTGATATCCGACGTGAGAAGCTCACTCTTCCGCAGAGACTTTTGATTGCCCCAACATCTGAGGCTTGCGCAATAAGCAGTTCAAGGTCAGCGAATTGTTTTCGAACTGCTTTCCGATAAGTATTTCGAGACCGTATCCAACAAAACAAGTGCCACAGCAATAATCAGTTACTATCATTACTACACGTTCAGCAAATGGCGAGGGTTCAGCAACAATGCAAGAGAGCATCGACTTATTGCATGTCGTAAGTGAGCCGCACCAACTTCGCCCATTGCACACCACTGCACAATGCGAAGGGAATATCTCTTCACGTAAATTCGGTTCCAAGTACTATCATTCAAGTTTCTAACTATTAGCTACTTACGCTGTCTTTCAATCAATCATGACCAAGCGACCACTTGAGTCACCACCTAAAGTTTGAGCTAACACCACAATCATGAACTGATCTCTAGCAACCTTGCCCTGAACTGGATATCTCTCCTTGATCTTCTTCCGTTCCAGCATTCCAGACCATTCCCATTGGGTATCCCTGAGTATGGGAGACTTCATCCGATCCCCGTTAACAAAGACTTGCATCGACGCTGCCTCATACGAGTTGTCGACTTCCAACAACCCAGTGAGAGTGACGTGACGTCTATCCAAGTCCTCGGTCGAGGCATCATCTTCTACGTCCACGCAAGAGACGAGCAACTCGAGCTTCCCTTGATGCATGACACGAGCTTGATTCAAATTGACCTGGATTAGGTCTGTGTCCAGTTGTGGTGCCAACGAGGGGCTCTCTCTTCGCTTTCTTGAGGACTCAAACGCACACGCATACTGCAACAGATCGCTGTCGCTCCAAGCCTTGCCCGCAAATGTCAACCCAACAGGAATCTTCTTGTCCGACAGCGTTCCCATTGGCACAGTGATGGCAGGCACGCCCAAGTGCTTCAAGGCACGGTTGCCATTGGAGTACTTCAAACCGTCTTTCAGAGAATATGCCATGGACTCACGATTGTCCTCGGAGTCAGCTCTTCCAACGTCGCCATTCGTGGGAAAGACGACAGCGTCAAAGCCGTTCTCATCCATCCAGTCTTCCAAGTCTCTCTTACGAGCCTCCTCGAGAGCGATCAATGCATCTGCACAACCTGCGAGATCGTAGATAGAGCTGGGCCGGTTGCGGATGAATTCAATCATCTCTGCGTACCGGACATGGTTCTGCTGCTCGGTGTGCTCCGACCGATCATCCAACGGCGCAAAGTCGGGGTTGATTTGGCGGTAGTCAACGCCTTCCAGCGAAGGGCACCCGGAATCGTTGTTGTTGCGCAGAAAGTCATCCCATGCTGTGGCAATCATCTGACACCGTTCGGTATCAATCCAGGTGCTCGGTATGCCTGGCACGCTGGCAGCTTGCCCAGGGAAGAGTTGCGTTGAGTAGTTCTCGACTAGAGGGAAATCAGTTTCGGTGATTTTAGCGCCCAGATTTTCCAGATCAACTCGAGCTTGCTCCCATAATTGCTGCGTGGCTTCCGAACAGACTGTAGAGTATCCGGAAGAAGTTTGCTTCCCGATGTAGCACTTGGGGACAGCAATATGCTTCCCTCGCAATGCCTCCGGATCTCTTAGGGATAGAAAGTCCCTTGGCCGGATCTCCGAGCTGAGTGGAACAGGCACAACCGTCTGCTCGCGCCAAAAGTCACCTTTCGGGTGTGCGTCGTCGGCAACAATGGCGTTCAAGAGCGTCAGCATGTCAGTGACAGACTTGGTATGGGGTGCGACAACATCACACGTCGGGTACAGCGGCCAATGGCCGCGAGAAGGAATGACGCCTCTTGACGGTGAGTATCCCACCAGGGCGTTGTGCGAAGCTGGTGCTCGACCAGATGAGACTGTCTCACCGCCGAGACCAATAGGGGCGAACGAAGATGTCGTGGATACTGCGGACCCGTATGAAGAGCCTGACGCGAAGCTGGTGCACAAGTACTCGGGGTTATAAGGGCTGGTTGAACGGCCGTAGAGACCTCGCTGGCTTCCTCCGTCGGCCATGGGAGGCATCGTGGTCTTCCCAATTAATACTGCTCCGGCAGCCCGTAGTAGCTCGACAACCGCGGCATCTGAAGACGCAACGAGACTTTCGAAGGCTGGGGACGCAGCTGCAACTGTGAGCCCCTTCACCTTGTAGCTGTCTTTCACGGTGAACGGGATTCCTTCTAGAGACCTTGGGGGACGTCCTGATGCGCGGTAGGCATCCGAGGCCTGTGCCTCATCGAAGACTTTGGGATTGATGATGCAGATGGAATTGAATAATGGCCCGCGATGATCGAATTTGCCGATTCGATGAAGGAAGCGCGCGACAAGGTCTACGCTTGTGATTTGAGAGTTACTCAGCGCATCCTGCAATTGGTTTATTGACGCTTCGGTGATGTTGAGGGATAGTACGGCCTCCATCTTGCTTGCAGTGTGTTTGGTGAGAGACTTGCACACTGGTAGAGCTTAAGGTCGACTTAACACGTGCGGACTTGTTGAGCAAAGAAACAGTGCATGAACGGTCATTCAGGATACAGAGTTCGAATTTCTTTAAGAATGGCTTTATGTCCCTCTCTTTCCTTTAGCCTATCCAGTCTTCATCGCGAGAGTCTCGTATGCTCGCTCAACTAGGTATTAGGACGGAAGGTCGAGGCGGTGTCAGCTAAGCGAAGGTCGAAGCGGGATTGGAATGTCGAGCCGGGAAACCCCAGTTAAAGACGCCAAAACGGTGCAGCCAACGCGAGTTGATTCGTCCTCGCTCAGATCCGACGCTAGCGGTTCTCCAGGTCCCGACTTGTCTTTTGGATATCTTCGCATGTTCTCGGACATCGACATCATCCACTTCACTGGATGCATGTTACCAGATGATAATTGATTTCTGTGACAAACTGAAAATCGGCTCGTGGAAGGATTGGAGGTTTGCACACTGCCAAGTTTCAGCGCAAGGATGTCAGAGCACTCACTAGGTGTGCATTTAAGGCTGCGAGAAGAGAGAAGTTTTGACCCTTGTACCTTGCGGCTTTGTTTATGCGCAAGTCCGGGATTCGGAAAGCAACAGAAGAAGAAGAAGAGAAGAAGAATGAAGGGGTGATTGAATGAACTTATATGTAATATGTCCTCACTGTGGGCGAGCTCACCGAGGGAAAGCTAGGCTAGCAAAGAAGTAGGTGGCGCATACTGCGCATATGACGGGAAACACTTCGCTGACAGTTTTCGGACATGAGAAAACAATTCTCGCAGTTTAAATGAGGGCTGTAACTTTTCTTTCTTGGATTCAGGGATAGGTGGCAGCCTTTCGAAAAGCAAATCATGGCACAAATACATGGAACGTTCCTTGCTTAGGTGTAGGCAAATTCTCTTTACCCACGATGAGCCTGAACTCCTGGGCATGATAGCAATCTTCACTCAAGCGCACTTTTTGAGCTACGCGAGGTCCATCGCAAGTGTTATATCGCAGATGCATCCCACGTACATGGGCCGCGCAAGGCCGCAAGGGTGACAGCCAGCACGAAGCCCAGTCTTGATCAAGAGCTATGCGAGTACATTTCACTGAGATTACCCAGCTCATAGCGTGGTTGGATCCCGTGATCAGGTAGTTGGGACGGTCCAGCTCATGCCATCAGTAATGAATCGATATCAGGTTGCTGTAGGGGAAGTATGGACCGTGGGATTTGCGCCTCACATGCAGTGGTTCATTAAACATTAGCAGGAAAACATTCGACGTTACAAAAGCTTTTCTGAATTTTAGGGACGAACAATCTGAGTTGGTTTGTGCTTTAAGTCCATGACAGGGCTGTTCATACACCGAGGTACAAAGCTAAGAAAGGGTAGCTTTCCTCGTTATGTCTCTACAGTTCCCATCTTCTACTGGCACGGTTGTGTAATGATGTATTGATTGGCTGCTCTATTCATCTCCACGGTCTCACCGTTTCGAGATCTTGATCAGTTACCAAACATTTACATCTTGCGAGGTATTGCTTCGGAATCCAGAATCCGGACTTCGAACTACCTTACCTCTGAGCATCTTCTAATCTCTTGAGAATTTTGTTCCAAAAGACGAAGACTGTCAACGAGCATTGGGAAACTTTTGCGTTTAACTTTGAATCTTTTAGTTACATTTTCCATCAAACATCTAAACGATTCACCCTACCAAAACATAGATGTTGCCCATTGCGGACATCCGGACTTTTCTCGATTGTCCACGCGCCGGCAAGTTGCCGACAGACCCATTCTTTAGGGCTGGTGGATCAAGGAGCCAAGCAATGCTTGATCTTCTCGGAATTGTGGCCCGAGGCTTGGATGCCGCGGAACGCGGTGCTGACGTTGGGCTTGGCATTGGCGAGCGAATTAGTCTGCTAGATGATGAAGGTGTGCCAAAAAACATTGGGAGGTTTTCCATCAAGTAAAGAACTGAGACCTGAACTGAGCCAGAACTCGTACTTCGATATTTACTGCTAAAGCATTTTCAAAGGCTAAAAACCGCACTTGGTCTGGTCAGTGGTCGTTTTTGACCAGCATGGATCTTCTAAGCAAGGTAACTTCTTAAACATAAGGTAATGCAGCATCGCAATCTTTCATCTTGGCTAATAAAGTATGCTCTTTTCAGCGACAGAATCTCCTCACTGGATCCTCGTAGGATCTCGTATTCAGCCCACTAAGGACTTAGTAAGAAGTATATCCTACAGCGTTTCCCGCGCATATTGTCGCATTCGCGGGTTTTACTTTGTGCACGTTATTGATCCCACTCCAGCCGAACCAGCTCACCATGCCGTAATTGGGAGAACAATGTCGATCTGCGCGAATAGAAAGGTGGGGTATGATCAGATAAGATGATCTTATCCATCAATTCCATCGCTCCTTCGAAGCTAAAAGAGTAAAAACAGCCTCTGGTACGGTCATCTTCAGCAACTGGCTTTCTTGGCAATAATGTAAGGTTACAGAGATGGGGAACCCCAATGACACCTTGCCCAGGTCCACTCGTGGGAGTAGTCTGAACAAAAAGAGGACGAATTCGTTTCGGATCTCGATTTGAGTGGTTGCCTATAGACGTTTTGGGGTATGGTGGGTGAGATGGGAATTTGCCAAGTGGGTTGACGGATGACGGGTACGCTATCTGACGCTATCTCCCCGACGTTTGGAGATCACGAGTAAACGGTCCCAGACCCTTGTCATTCCCTACCAAATCTGACTTACACGGGCTTTTAGCCTTGATTTCTCTTTTCCCGAGCCATTCGACACGAGCTCGCCAGTATCAATCAAGTTTCTGAGCTGTTCAATCATCGTTGTTTCACAAAATGGACGGCTTCAAACTCCCCGAGATCCCAACCTTGACCTTACAAGAAGGCGTCAAGAAGGAAGAAGTCGACGCGGAAAAGATTTCCGGTGAATGGCTCTCCAAACTTGAAAAGCGATTCGCTGAAAGGTCTTTCAGCAACATCTCCGACTTGTTCATCGACAACTGCTGGTGGAGAGACATTGTTGGCCTCTCATGGGATTTCACCTGCAAGCAAGGTCAAGACAACATCAAAAAGTACCTAGCCTCAGCGAACCATGGCCTCTCCGAGCTACAGACCAACAAGCTTGGCGGACTGAAGCCGTTGCTCCTCGATTTCGACGGCATGGTCTGGATCCAAACTGGCTTCACCTTCAAGACGCCACATGGCGAGGGAAAGGGCTTGCTCAAGCTTGGCAACACTGGCAAAGACGAGTGGAAGGCGTGGACTGTCTTTACGCAGTTGGAGAAACTTGATTTCCAGAAGGAAGTTGAGGAACGGCACGCGACATCAATTCCGATACCAAAGACGCCCGTCACTAATGGGGTCAACGGAGTCAACGGCATCAATGGACATGCACACGCAGAGCCCGAAGAAGACCTGCAGGTTCTGATT